AATTATTGATAGATGTGAGTTTGTTGCTGTCATTTTGTAGTGCTTTTTTTTGTGGTGCTGAAGTTTTCTTTGTTCTTCTTACTCTCTTGTGCTGAGTAGACTCAATATTATGAGCAATCTAATAAAGTTAATAAAAATAAAAACGGAACAACAGCAATAAGTAGGACCAGCTTCAGGAGACAGCCATCAGGATGGTAGGGGACTTAAAATTATGATATATGAGAAGCAGTATAAAATCATAGTCTACCATTTAGTGTGATAATTCTTAAATATTTGAAGGTCTGCCCTATGGAACAGGGGTTAAATTTATTCTTTGTCCTCCTAGAGTCAAGAATGAGCAATCAATAGAATGAGTTTAGCTCAAAATAAGAAAGAACTTTCTAATACTATCATTATCGGAAAATGGAATGAGGTGCTTTAGAAAATAATGAGCTTCTAGGCATTGAATTTGTTTGAGCAGAATCTCTACGGCTATTCGTGAATGATATATTAGAGGATACTGATGCAGCAAATGGAGGAGTTGGAGTAGACAGCTTCTAATGTCCTCCCGGCTCTACAGTTCTCGGAAATACATTTGCAGTTTGGTTTTGTCCCTCTTCCATAAAAGGAACATAATATAATGAAATAAAACAGAGCGGTTGTTTTTTTTAATTCAATTAAAATTTGCTATATTTTTTATTAAAATATTGTCTCAGTAGAAGCATTAAAATTATTTCAATGCTTTTTTAAATAAGTGTATCAGATACTACATATTTCCCTGAGTGTTCCCCTTCATATACTTTCCCTGGGAGCCTCTTCTTAATCCAGATGAAGTTTATCTTGTGGAATTGCCATCAGAACCAAAAAATTGATCTTTTTTGCTTCATAATTATATTTCATTTCAGCTCAAAGTTGTATTTCCCACTTTCATACATCTTAGTCATTCTGATTTTCTGATTTGGCTCTGAGTGACTTTTGGTTATCTCCAAAATTCAAACCTAGTCTGCAAAGATTTCTAAGGTAACCACATGTCCTGCTTAATTGTTAATAGTACCCTTTCACTGTCCAAAGTGTCCTGGATATGGTCACCCTAGTTACCGCCAATGAGAATATTCAGTTGGTAGGCTCCAAAGGCAATTCTATAGGGTCGCTATGAGTGAGAGTTGACTCGATGGCGGTGGATTGTTTTTGTTTTTTTAAAGACAATTCAAAAGATAAGTTAAAATCATTTCTATGAGCATTGATATCATTGGACCACGTCTGCCACTTCCATATTAACTGCTTTGAAGGTGGTAATGCGCCCTTGGATGTAAAAGTTACTTATGATGTATTCCTTCTATTTTCTAACCAACCAGATTTTGAAGATTTTTCATTTAGGCATGAGAGTATGTATGTATATTTATACACATACCCACACACATAGAAATGTATTTACAGATATAAATTTTTTTTAATTCCCTTTGACAATGATGACGATCCATAAGTGGGAGTAGTTGAAATGATTAGCGTGTAAACTCAAGTCACTCTCACGTCATGCATACATGAAGTTTAAAGTGTTCAAATAAATTTATCGAGATTTATTTCATTTTATTTATTCAGGTTTTTTTCCTTTTTTTCTCCACTGAAACATAAGTATTTGTTAGGCAAATAAGTAATAATTCTCTCTGCAATCTGCACATGTTCAAAGCCATATTTACTTTACTCGTTTCTGTGTTTGGAAAACAGAGCATATAATTTGTTCTCCTGCTTTTTTTTTAAGTTTACCAGTAAATCTGAAGCTTTATTACTAAAAATACGTGGTGTCATCAACCAGTTGGCATTTGGCATTGACAAAAGGTAATGTTAAAATATATTTTTTTAATCTCTTTTTATTTTATTATTTTTTGCCAGTATGCCCCATCTGATTTTCTTTCTCACCCATCTTTGTTTCTTGAATGACAGAGTACCACAGATGGCTGTTCTTAAAGAGATAATTTCATACTCTCTGCTGATTCTTTTATTGCTTAAATATTTCTCAAACTTTACAACTGAAATGCTGTGTAATATTTACTTTGAGACCAAATTAAAATAATGATACTGTTAGACTTGTTCCCTGATTTCTTTTACATCTCCTCGCATCCCTTCCATTTTAGCTTTTTCTCTGTTGTCACTTTCTTATATTGATTTGAAATGGAATCGATCATTTTAGTACATAACTGTCTTAGCCTTGCTGCTTCCCTTTGTTTTATCTAAAGTAGTTTGAGTCTGTCACTTTTTTTTCCTATGTAACCTTTATTCATGCTATCCTTTAATTTTTGAAATCATTTAAATTGATATTCATTCATTCATTGGGCATTGCTCTTACCAGTGGCTGGATATAAAACTTTGCTCTAGTATTTACAATAGAGTATGGCAGGATATTCACTCACTAAACTAAATTAGACTCTTTTTTTCTTCTTATCCATGTAGCAAATCAATATGTGTGGATCAGAATAAACCACTGTTTATCACAGCAGGATTGGATTCCTTAAGTCAAATAGGTTGGTGAACTTATTAAGATTGTTCAATCTTTTTTTAATTGCTTATTGATTTTATCCTAATCCATGTTCACTTGATCTCCAGCATACCTCCATTTCTAGTTTCATTATGGTTGCTATTATTTCATATGTATTTGTGTTGTATACACAGTATTGATGCAACACGCATCACACTGATATGTATGTGATGGAAGGGATGTCGCCATAGAAGAGACTGATTTCTGATCTCTGTTCTACTAAAAAATTGTATGCATCCTCTTTCCCTTGCTAATTTCCAGGTACTCTTAAATTTTAGCTCATTAAGTTTAGAAGAAACTAGAAGGAAAGAGGAGTCAGGAGATTCAAAGCTACAAATTATGGGCAATGATCAAAAATAGAAGAGATTCAGGTGATAGAATTAACCAAAAAGAACAGCGTTGTACTAATTAGGTACACTTTTATTTTTTATTAGAAAAATAGCTCGCCCCATCTAATGGAATGTATTTTGTGAACTTAGACTCCATAGGCTCCTGAAACAAAAGGAATTTCAATAGTTTACATGGTCAAGTCCTTTATCTTCCCACAGAAGCTACTTTTTTTTGTGAAGATCTTTGGGTCTCGCAACTCTATACTCTGGGGGTGGCATAGTTTGGTTTTAACACTGTAATGGGCAGTGGTTTTCTTTTTTATTCCCTCCTCCTCCGTTAGTCTTCCAAGGTGACTTGAATTCAAATGTGGAGTTCTTTATAATAAGACTATAGAATGAATTGAAATGAAAGGAATAGAAGTAGTTTTGCTTAATGAATGGTCATGAGACTGATTTTTATAATTACCATTAGCACCAACTTAATTTCAGTAGCAGTGACAATCATTGTGTGTACTGATAGATAATGCTGATTGAACTCTTTTGACCATGTGAATAGTTGGAGGTCAGAAAAAGACTGAGAGTTAAATGAATTAATAAAAAACACGCACCTACCACAGCCTCCACCAGACTGAGTCCAGCACAACTACATGGTGCCTGGCTGCCACCACCGACTCCTCTGACAGGGGTCACAATAGAGTGTCCCGGACAGAGCTGGTGAAAAATGTAGAACAAAATTCTGACTCACAGAAAAAGACCAGACTTACTGGTCTGACAGAGACTGGAGAAACCCTGAGAGTATGACCCCCGGACACCTTTTTAACTCAGTACTGAAGTCACTCCTGAGGTTCACCCTTTGGCCAAAGATTAGACAGGCCCATAAAACAAAATGAGACTTAATGGGCACACTAGCCCAGGGGCAAAGACGAGAAGGCAGGAGGGGACAGGAAAGCTGGTAATGGGGAACCCAAAGTTGAGAAGGGGAGTGTTGACATGTTGTGGGGTTGGTAGCCAGTGTCACAAGACAGTATGTGTATTAATTGTTTAATGAGAAACTAATTTGCTCTGTAAACCTTCATCTGAAGCACAATTTAAAAAATGTACCTAGACCTCTTCAAAATTAAAAGCTTTTGCTCTGTGAAAGCCCATGTGAAGAGGACGAAAAGACAAGCTACAGACTAAAAGATAATATTTTCAAACCACATATTTGACAAAGAAATAGTACCTAAAATATATAAAGAACTCAAAATTCCACATTAAAAAAACAATCCAATTAGAAAATAGGAAAGGTATAAACAGGCATTTCACTGAAGAGAATATAAAATGGCAAATAGGCACATGAAAAGATGCTTAACATCATTAGCCATCAGGGAAATATGAAGTAAAACCACAATGAGTTATCACTACACAACTATCAGAATAGCTAAAACAAAAAATAATAATAACACCAAATGCTGACAAGGATATGGAGAAACTGGATCACTCATACATTGCTGGTGGGAATGTGAAATGGTATAACCACTCTGGAAAAGTATGACAGTTTCTTATAAAACTAAACATAACTATCATGACTCAGACTTTTCACTATTCGGCATTTATTCTAGAGAAATGAAAACTTGGTTCACATAAACATCTGTACACAAATGTTCATAGCAACTTAATTTGTAATAGCTAAAAACTGGAATCAGCCCACCTGTCCTTCAGCAGTATTCTATCCCATGAAATACTACTCAGCTATAAAAAGGAACAGGTATTGATACATACAACAGTTTGGGTGAATCTATAGGAAATCATGCTGAGTGAAAAATGCCAATTACAAAAGGTTATATACTATAAGATTCTATTTACATAAAATTTTTAAAATGACAAAATTTTGGAAATGGAGGACAGTTAGTCATTACCAGGGGTTAGGAACAGGGCTGAGGATAGGAAGTAGGGGAGGGGTGTGGAGGGAGATGGTGACATGAGGGATCCTTGTGGTGATGGAAATGTTCATTGTTTTGACTGGTAATAGATACATGAACCTACCCAGGTGATAAAATTGTTTAGAACTTAATATACACGCACACTCATACACAAATGAATGCAAGTAAAACTTGAGAAACCTAAAATTGGTGGATTGTATCAATGTCTTTCCCACAAAAATGGTGAGGAGGCCCTGGAAGACCAACAGTGAGAGGGCCTTGGTGAGTAATATAGATGCTGGAATAGAAAGAATGAAAACTCTTAGGTTATAGATTAAAACCCCATGCATCTATCAGTTTCTCGTGCTGTGGTGGTTTGTGTGTTGCTGTGATGCTGAAAGCTATGCCGCCGGTATTTCAAATACCAGCAGGGTCATCCATGGTGCACAGGTTTCAGTGGCACTTCCAGACTAAGACAGACGAGGAAGAAGGACATGACATTCTACGTCTGAAAAAATTGGCCCATGAAACCTTATGAATAGCAGCAGAACATTGTCTGGTATAGTGCCAGAAGATAAGCCCCTCAGATTGGAAGACACTCAAAATACAATTGGGGAAGAACTGCCTCAAACTAGCATCTACCTTAATGATGTGATGGAGTGAAGCTTTCTGGACCTTCATTTGCTGATGTAGCACGACTCAAAATGAGAAGAAACAGCTACAAGCATCCATTAATAATCGGAATGTGGAATGTATGAAGTATGAATCTAGGAAAATTGAAGGTCGTCAAAAATGAAATGGAACACATGAAGATCAATATCCTAGGTATTAGTGAACTGAAATGGACTGGTATTGGCCATTTTGAATTGGATAATCATATGGTATACTATGCCAGGAATGACAAACTGAAGAGGAATGGCCTCCCATTCATCCTCAAAAAGAACATTTCAAGATCTATCCTGAAGTACAGTGCTGTCAGTGATAGGATAATATCCATATGCCTACAAGGAAGACCAGTTAATACGACTATTACTCAAATTTATGTGCCAACCACTAACGCCAAAGATGAGGAAATTGAAGATTTTTACCAACTTCTACAGTCTGAAATTGATCAAACATGCAATCAAGATGCATTGATAATTACTGGTGATTGAAATGCGGAATTGGAAACAAAGGATTGGTAGATGGAAAGTATGGCCTTGGTGATAGGGTGCCGGAGATCACATGATAGAATTTTGCAAGACCAATGACTTCTTCATTGCAGATACCTATTTTCAACAACATCGATGGCGACTATACACATGGACCTTACTGGGTGGAAAACGCAGGAGTCAAATCCACTACATCTGTGGAAAGAGACAATGGAAAAGCCCAATTTCATTAGTCCGAACAAGGCTAAGGGCCAACTGCAGAGCAGACCATCAGTTGTTCTTATGCAAGTTCAAGCTGAAGTTGAAGAAAATTAGAGTGAGTCCATGAGAGGCAAAATACATCCTTGAGTATATCCCACCTGAATTTAGAGACCATCTCAAGAATAGATTTGATGCATTGAATACTAGTGACCAAAGACCAGACGAGTTGTGGAATGACATCATACATGAAGAATGCAAAAGGTCAATAAAAAGACAGAAAAGAACAAAATGGATATCAGAAGAGCCTCTGAAACTTGCT